TGCTTATGTGGTGCTGAGGAATCAAACCCAGGGCCTCATGCATGCAAGGCAAGCGCTCTACCATTGAGCCACCTTCCCAGCCCACTTCCAGCTTTTTCTGAGTAGTTCATTGGAGATAAGAGTCTCACAGACTTTTCTGCCTGGCCTGGCTTTGAATTATTTTTTTGACTTGTAGTTCTTGCCTCTTGGTGTAGCCCAATACTATAAAGATTTTGTTTCTTGGCATTCTGAGTCTAAGGGCAGTTCCTTGGAGAGACAATCTCCTAGGCCAGACTTGGGCTCATTATCTGGTCTGACCGATGATTATAGGGAAGTGGTAACAATTCCCAAGTGTAGAATGTTAGCTTAGCATACTCAAGGCCAGAGTTTGATCCCTAGCACTGCAAAGATACCAGCACACGCCTCCCTTCCCCACACAACTAGCAAAAGCAAAACCCAAAACCAAAACAAGGGGCCGAGCAAGTAGTGCCTCAGAATGTACTTATTATATTGCACGTGGGCCTGTGGATTACTGTGAATTGCTGGTTATCTGCCTGTGTTAGCTCGTCTAGGCTATTCCACACAGAGAACTTGGCTCAGCAGTTTAGGATTTTCTCCCTGACACTCTTGACTGCTGTTCCCCCACCTCCACCCCATATAATTGTTATTAGTGAACACCTGTATTACTTACCAGTGTGGTGAGTGAAGCTCTTGAAACACTGTGGAGGCCATTACGACCATGTGCATCTTCCGTTCTTTTGAAAGGAGGAATGTCTATCTTTCTGAAAATTTGCTTGCTGCAGGGAAGTGGCCATTTGACGGGAGTCATCAACACCTTAATTCCAGCCATGGTTCATTCGTTTTCTTTTTTTGCTAAGAAATAGTTTAAGAATGCACTATGCTTTTATTGCCCTCTGGAAATTTATGATCTTGGGGTAACAAAACCTAACAACATGTGAGAGAGAGAGAGGGAGGGGGAGGGGGAGAGGGAGAGGGAGAGGGAGATCTCATGTCCACAGGACAACAGCCCTAGACACTGATCTGTGCTGTGGAGAGTAGAGAACTCCAGAGGGTGGCAGGTAAATTTAGGAAAGTTTTCCTAGTGTCTGAGCCAGACTTGGAAGTAGGCATAGCTAAGGCAGGAGGAGGAGGTAAGGGAGGGCATGTCTTTTGTGTTATATCTGGTGTGAGCCACTGGAGCCTGGCTGTGTTTTTTGACTTGTTGTCAAAGTGGGTAAAATGTAGGTACAAGTGGCCAAGAGGATGGGCCTGACAGCTTTTGTGATAACATTTGAGTGCATCTTTAAGTTCCAAGGTTAGCAGCAGTATTTGGAGGTACCACTATGTTTTTTACTGTAGAACCCCAGTGGGGGCAAGGTGCTAGATCCTCTACATAGGGCCCGTATATCACTGAGGTGCATAAGGAATGAGCTGGAGCTTAAGGCAGCACTGCTGATATGAACCTTGGGAGCACTTGGTAAACTCATTTTTCCATGGACCTCCCTGAGAGGTTTGGATAAGGACTGTGGGTACTTACCAGTGATCTTTTGGGCTTGGGAATGATAGTTTCCCCCTTTTTAGCCTCAATTTTCTTTTCTTTTCTTTTTTTTTTT